CTCTCTCTCTCTCTCTCGCTCTCTGTGTGTGTCTCTCTATGGTCAAATTAAAAATAAATGAATGAATAAAATTAAATAATTCTTATAAAAAAAAAAAAGAAAGAAAGAAAGAAATGTCCTGGGCTGGGTTGATGGTAATGATCTCTTTTTTTTTTTTTTTTTTTTGAGAGGTTTTTGCTATAGGGCGCATGAACAAGCCAGAAAGAGAGAAAGACAGAGCAAGAAATCCCCTCCCCCAGGGGTGATGGCCACACCAGTCCCTTCTCCTCCATTCTCCTCTCAGGATCTTGGGCATGCACGCGCATGCACCCGGCATGAGTTTAAGCCACCAGATTCAGGACTCAAACTGTGGTCTACTATGTGGGAGTCCAGCGACATAGCCATTACGCCAACTGCTGGTCCCTGATGATTCCTATCTTGATAGGTGATGTGTGGATTTGTCAAAATTTAGCAAATATGCACTTAAATTTGTACATTTCATATTAAAACTTTACATAAAAATTATAAACAAATACTGAACTCTATTAATGATTACATGGTGAAGTATTGAGGGAAAAGTATTCTCTCTCCAATTTACTTTGAAATGCATCAAGAACAAGCTGAATCATGAGCCAACTCCATGGTGCAGCAGTAATGCACTACTCAAAAGAAGATGAATCCCACAGGGCAACCACAGTTCAAATCCCTGGCCCAGATGCTATGCCACATAGCAGGCCCATGTGACTGCCCAAGATCTGACAGGCTAGACTGGAGGAAGGGCATCACAGCATGATCGGACACTGTAGGGGTGTTTGTCTATCTGTCTCTCACTCTCTCATGTACAAATACACACTCTATCATGAAAAATAATGTTTTAACCAATAATCCTCTACCAATGAAGAACCAGATAAACAGATATGTGATAAACTAAGTATAATAAATGTTAATGGTAGAATATAGTAGTTGAGTACACTGATGTAAACAGCAAAATTCTTTCAACTTTGCTTATGTTTGAAAAATGTGGGGGGGGGCAGGTAAGTGGTGCAGTTGTTAAGCAGCTGGACCCCCACTGGCCAACCACTGTTCAAGTCTCGCACCCAGCAGCTTTAAACTCACACCAGGCCTGTGTGGGTGCATGTCCAAAATCCCAAGAGGAGAAAGGAGAAAAAAGGATTGCAGCATAACCATCTCCTCTAGGGGGTGATTTCTCTTTCTATCTCCGTCTGTTTCTCTTGCAAGTACATGTACCCTATAGTAAAAATCTCTCTTTAAAAAAAAAGAAATTATTGGGACCAGCAGTTGGCATAATGACTATGTCACTGGACTTAGACCGCAGTTCGAGTCCCAGACCCAGTGGCTTGAACTCATGCTGGGTGCATGTGCGTGCGTGCCCAAGATCCCAAGAGGAGAATGGAGA